GTAGCTTTGGCACCATTTGTAAAGTCAAAATATCCTAAGTCAAACCATCACAAGTTGGGGACTGTGTGTATGCCACATGAAAAAAATAGTTGAAGATAAACATTAAGAAGAAAAAAGGGGAAATAAACACAGAGCCAAAATTGCTTGTGCTGTGGTCCAAATGTAGCTTTTGGGTTAAGGCACAGCCTGAATCCAATCTATTCCATAATACATAATCAAGAAATGAAGGAACCATGGTATATGATAGTGTTCTGTCTTTTCAACAAGTCATATTAAAGTCTGTTTTTAAGCTAAAATAAACATTTAAGATGCCTGTATCTTTTTAAAATTTCCCTTCTTCTCCCATTTTAGGGATAATTGAAATTTTTAATCTATAATAATTTTAAATTTACAGTGAAGTTGCAAGAATAGCACAAAGAATACCCATATATCCTATCTTAGTCTGCTTGGGCTACCATACATAACATAATATCATAGACTGGGTGTCTTCACAGAAATTTATTTTTTTCACAGTTCTGGAGGCTGGAGAGTCCAAGATCAAATGATTTGGTTTCTGGTGAGATTGTACAATCTAAGTGGATGAGGAAGGGACATTATCCAAAAAAAAAAAAAAAAAGCTTTATTATTAGTAACTGATATGACTCAGTAGTATAATGCCATTGCAAAAAACATGAGGCTTTTGGATAGCTGCCTTTTTCCTGTGTCTTCATTTGGTAGGAAGTGTGGGGGAGAGGTACAAGACACTAACCCTTTTGTGTCAGACCCCTACCCTTATGACCTCTGTAGCTTAATTACCTTTTTGGAGGTCTCTCTTCAAATACAGTCACATTGGAGGTTAGGATTTAATATGTGAATTCGGAGGAGAAATATTCAGTCCGTAGCATACTTTTTACCCAGATTTACCTGTTGTTAACATTTTACCCCATTTGTTCTCCACACAACACACACAAAATTTTTGTTCTACCCACTTGAGAATAAATTGCATACATCATGATCCTTTACCTGTAAATTCTTCAGAGTGTATTTCCCAAGAATGAAACTATGTTCTTACTGAATCACAGGATAGTAACTACAACTACAGTAACTGTAACACAGGTAAGTATTTGTATCCAATCTACTATCCATGGTTCAGGATGAAACTGTTCCAGCTCAGATCATCAGGCATTAGAGTCTCCTAAGGAGCAGGCAATCTGGACCCCTCCCATGGGCAGTTCACAGATTCATAGGATTTACGTTCCTGTGAGAATCTAATGCCACCACTGATCTGACAGGAGGTGAACTCAGGCGGCAGTGCTCACTCACCCGCTGCTTTCCTGCTGTATGGCCCAGCTCCTAACATGGCCCCTGGTTCGGGGACCCTTGCTTTATAGCATTTTCTCCTCTTCCAGTAAACCAGTCAAAACCTGTATTTTAAAAAAATGGCATCTGGCTTCCTCCATAAACAAAAGTCTACCAACTCTTTCCACAAGCTCCCCACTTCCACTCCCCAATTTCAAGCCCCTGTCTCTTAGTTTCTTCTTGGAGCGTTAGAACCCTATTCGCCCTACAAAATACCTACTTTTCTCTTTTTTAAGATAATCTTTTATGAAGATTTTTACTGCCCTCCCTAAGCAGATGGAATTGACCCAGCTAGAAACCAAGAGGACTTTCTTCTTAATTCCCCTCCACATCCTGTGCCCTTAGCATACTGGAAATATCTTAGTTTGTATTCATGACTGGTATATATCTGCTTTTCCCCTCCCACCCACACCTCCATCCTCTGCCAGAAGACTCTAAGCTCAGAAGGGACCATATTTTATTGGTCTTTGTATTCTCAGAGCTTAAAGACAGGATCTGTCCCACAGGAGGTGCTTTATAAATATTTATTAATCATCAATGGAATAAATCACCCTAAAGAGCTCCTGAAGGAGGTTGTAAGGAGTCTGATCCTGAAGAGTTTCAAGAAGGAAAATGGCCATCCATCCAGGGGCCTTACAGTGGTTCTAGGCGAAAGGGAATGAGTTTAGAGTGGATAGAGTGGAGCTTGATCTCTAAAAGCTTGCTTGATTCTGTGATAAAGCGTGATAAAATCAGGCAGGACCTTTATATTCCTTAAGATTTCTCAAGCCCACACACAGCTCTCAGGAGAACATAGTCTGGATTTATTTATTTACTTACTTACTTATTTATATTTTTAATTCATTTTTTTTGGAACAGAATCTCACTCTGTCCCCCAGGCTGGAATACAGTGGTGTGATCTCAGCTCACTGCAACCTCAACCTCCCGGGTTCAAACGATTCTCCTGCCCCAGCCTCCTGAGTAGTTGGGACTACAAGTGCATGCCACCACATCCAGCTTATTTTTGTGTCTTTGGTAGAGACAGGATTTCACCATGTTGGCCAGGCTGGCCTCAAACTCCTTACCTCAGGTGATCCACTTGCCTCGGCCTCCCAAAGTACTGGGATTACAGGCGTGAGCCACTGTGCCTGGCCTATTTAAAAATTTTTAATCTTGAACTAATTTTAGACTTACAGAAAGCTTGCAAAAATAGTATCGAGTTCCTAGAAACTCTTCACCCCGTTCTCCCTAGTATTAACATATAACCATAGAACAATGATCAAAACCAGGAAATCAGCATTGGCACAATACTATTAGCAACAGATCTTACTCAGATTTTGCCAACTTTTTCACTAATGTCCTTTTCTTTTCCAGGATCCCACATTGCATTTAGTTGGCATGTCTGCTTAATTGCCTCCAATCTGTGACAGCTCCTTAGTCTGTCTTTGTCTTTTGTGATCTGGACACTTTGTAGGAGTACTAGTCAGTTATTTATAGAATGTCTCTCAGTTGATATCTGTCTTATATTTTTTCATGGTTAGATTGAGGTTCTGGCTTTTTGACAGGAAAATTGCAGAAGTGATGACATACCCTTCTCAAGTGCATCACATCCAGAATATATAAAGTCGTCGTATTGCTGGCAGTATTGAACTTGATCACTCTGGTAAGGAGGTTTCTCCTGGATTTCTCCCTGTGAAGTTCCCATCTTTCTCTTCAAAGTTAATAAGTACCTTTAGATACTTTGGATCTATGCAAATATGCTGTTTCTCCTTAAACTTCCATCCACTAATTTTCGCATTCATGAGCGAACTTTGCCTGTAACAAACCTTTTTGTGGTGTTTACCTAATAGGGAGATTTCTTAGTTCTCTCTTTCCTTCTACATTTATTAACTGGAATTCTCCTGGAAGGAAGCTTTATAGACTTGATTTAGGTGCAGAGTGTCACATCCTGCCAATCATTATTTTCTGATCTTTTGATTTTTCAGATTACTAGTTTGATAGCCATATTTCAAAACATCTTTGCTATTTCAGCATTTACATTTTATTAATGTTTGCTTAAAGACGTTGTAATCACTTTACATTATTACTACAGTTTCTTTATTATAGGCAGACTGAATTATATAAATGAAAAATCAGTGACTTTTTTTTTTTTTTTTTTTTTTTGAGACGGAGTTTCGCTCTTGTTACCCAGGCTGGAGTGCAATGGCGCGATCTCAGCTCACCGCAACCTCCGCCTCCTGGGTTCAGGCAATTCTCCTGCCTCAGCCTCCTGAGTAGCTGGGATTACAGGCACGTGCCACCATGCCCAGCTAATTTTTTGTATTTTTAGTAGAGACGGGGTTTCACCATGTTGACCAGGATGGTCTCCATCTCTCGACCTCATGATCCACCCGCCTTGGCCTCCCAAAGTGCTGGGATTACAGGCTTGAACCACTGCGCCCGGCCGACATTATTTTTAAGACACAAACTGAGTGACTTTAAAATGAGCACACCCTATACATAGGCATTGAATTCCTAGTTCTTTCTTTAGCTTTTGAATGTCTAATAGTGAAAATAATACCACTGATGCTTAGCCACACATAGTTCATGGAGCACACATAAGGTCCCTATCAGGAGAACTTTAATTTAGCATTTCTTAGCTTTTGTATGTTTACATTGTTAATTGTAGCTCAAGTGTACAGAACACAGTATATTTAGCAGAAATTTTCATAGCCTGGCAATTTTCATCGACCACAGTTGGCTCTCAGAGTTTGCCCAGAATGGTTAGTCAGCAGAAAAGCATTGAATTGGAGCTGATTTATTTCTGAATCAGTGACAAATTTACTTTCCAAGCATAGTATCTCTAGTTGTATAAGAAATTAGAAAAGAACATTATTTAGACCAAGGGTTAGTAAACTGTGTAAAGGGCCATATGGTCAATACACTAAGTCCTCACTTAGCTCATCCATAGGTTCTTTGGAAACTGCGACTTTATGCCAAACAACATAAAACAAAACCAATTTTGCCATAGGCTAATTGATATAAACAAGAGTTAAGTTCCTAACACATATTTCTGGTCATAAAAACATCACCAAACTTCTAAATAAAAACTGAAACACTTTGAATATTAAGCATTGGAATAAATGTGAGCTACACATACATTTAAGAAAGATTTGTTTAAAAATAAAGTAATTATTTGCCTGCTTATTCCAGTTTGGGGTTGTGGGTGGTCAGAGCCTATCCCAGCAGCTTAGGGCCCAGAGACCAACCCAGACACCAATTGCAGGTCACACACACACATCCCCTACACCCACTCAGGCCTGGGATAGTGTAGACATGATTTTCACCTAGTGTGCACATCTTTGGGACGTGGAAGGAAACTGGAGCAGCTGGAGAAACCCACACAGACACAGGGAGAATGTGCGAACTCCACACAGACAGCAGCCCCAGCCGGGAATCAAGTTTTTTTTTTTTTCCTTCATCAGCATTATAATGAAACAACATTATTCCAAAACTTGCTGTCCTTTGGGCTTTGCAGGCTATACAGCATCACACAACTATTAACTCTGCGATTGTAGTCATGGACAGTGTGCAAGTATGTGGGTATGACTGTGTTCCAATAAAACACAGATCGAGACTCATAAAAATACATCTACTGAAAATGTATTTTAGCATTTATCCTTGCCTCTCATTTTTCTCTGCAGGCAGAAGACTGATTTTTGAAAATATGTATTTGGAAGATAGTCACGTCCTGTTGAATACTTTGTGCTGGTGCTGCCATCGAAAAATCTGGTTACACTCTGGGGAGGGCTGCTACTGCTGCAGGACTGAACCGCTTCGGCCGTGAGATGAGTGTCTGGCCTGAGCAGGCACACCATGAATAGATACACAACAATCAGGCAGCTCGGGGATGGAACCTACGGTTCCGTCCTGCTGGGAAGAAGCATTGAGTCTGGGGAGCTGATTGCTATTAAAAAGTAAGTTTGATCCTTCACTCTGTGATAATTTTAACTGGACCCTCACCATTCCCCATCTTTGAAACAGTTCTAAAGGGGAGCAGGTGGGATGCCTGGAGAAGAACCTTAGATAATAATTTCTGTGGGTTAGGTGATTATTGACTCTGCAGTACCCATGTTAGAGGTCTTAAAAACATTTCCACTTTAAATTTACTACTTTGCACATAGCACTAGTACTTGTTATCAAAGTATTTTCTCATATTGTGTGGTAGGAACAAGCAGGTTAATAAACATCATTTTACATGAGAAGAAACTGAAACTCTAATAAATTAAGTGACTTAGTTTGGGTCATTTACATGCGTGTGGTGGTCTGGTGACTGCTGTCTTGTTCCTCCTGCCCCACCTGCCCTTTACAACCTGAGTCAGACACATTGTGTTCGTTACCTGTTGCTGTTTAACAATTTGCTCCAAGATTTAGTTGTTTAAAACAACACACATTTATTATCTCACAGTTCCAGCAGTCTGGGCACAGCTGAGCTAAGTTCTCTGCCTCAGTATCTCTCATGAGGCTGTTGTCAAAGTATTGGCTCAGACTGGGGAAGAATCCAATTCTGAGCTCATTGATCTATGGGTTTTTGGACTGAGGGCTTCAGTTCCCTGCTGGCTGTTGGCAGGAGGCTGCCCTCAGTTCCTTGCCATGTGGGCTTCTAAAGACCAGCTTACAACATGGCAATTTGCTTCAAGACATGGGAGTCAAGAAGGCAATGAGAGACTTGTACTGAGATGAAAGTTGTATCTTGCTTTTGTAAATTAATCACAGAAGTGACATTCCTGTCCAATTGCTGTATTCTATTGGTTAGAAGCAGGTCACTGAAGGAGAGGGGGTTCTAAAAGGTTCTGGGTAGCAGGAGATGGGAGTCTCTGGGAACCACATTGGAGACTGTCACACCCGTCTCTATCCAGTTGCCTTCTCAGCATCTCTATTTGAATGCCCTGCAGATATTTCAAACTCACCATGCCCAAAACTACATTCTGACTCAGCATATTATCTCACTCTCATCCCAAATTTGTTTCTTCTTCAGTATTCCCTATTTCGATAAATGGCACTATCCCCTCAAAACCTGGGAGTTCTCCTGCCTTCCTTCTCGCTTCTTCCTCACCTTTAGTCACCTAGTCCTGTCAATTCTACATAATGGTTATGTGATCCACCTACTTCTGTATATTCCCACTGCTAACCTCCATTCAACCCATGACCCTTTACCACCTCCACCACTAGGTCCTCTGTAGGGCTCCTGGCTTTTTTTCCCTTATTCATATCAGACCAGAGGGATTATTTTAAACATACAAATTTAATCCTCTAAAACCACTTGACCAAATGTTCATTGTGTTCCCTGAACATATGCAACTGTAGTGCACAGCTCTATGCCCACACTGGCACCCCACCCCAAGTGTACTTGGGAGACTTTCAACCAAGATGTGTTCTGTCCAGCTCTTTAAAAAGTCCCTAGCAGGACTGAGCCATTTGCCAACCCTGGTACTGGCTTGCTCATATACCCCTTATTGGGTTCCCTACCTCTCTTTTCTGAGTCTCCTGCTCCTTGCACTGGCTTCCTGGAATCAGCTCCCAAATAAACTACCTGCACCCAAGTTCTTGCCCAGGCTCTGCTTTTGGAGGAATCCTTACTAAAACAGCTTCCAATGTCTTCTTGTCAGTTTTAAGATGAAGCCCCAAATGTTTAATGTGACCTACCAATTGCTGCATCATTTGGCCAAGCCACTGCCCCTGGCAGGTTCACTTTTATAGGCTCTTTTCCTTTCTTCACAGCACTTGGTACAGAAAATTATTGTTGACCTTCTGGCCATGATGTCAGTTTCATGAGGGATGTCTTTCTCATCATTGCCTTGCCAGTGGCTGACAAAGCACCTGCTGTACCACATAGCAGGGGCTAAATCATATTTGGGGCATGAATAAAGAATTTGATCACTCTACCAGGAGACAGTGGGATAAGGACAGAGGAAGCTGGAGAGATGGGCAGTTTGTTACTGGCCAGCAGTGAGACCTCGGGAAAGTCGCGTGCCTTCTCTGTTTCTCAGTTTCCTGAGCTGTCCTTATCTGTTTCACAGGGCTGCTGTAAGACAAATGAGACAATGTGATTGAAATTCACTGAAAAGTATAACCTTGAAACTTGGATTTCTGATTAACTAATGGTGTTTTCTTTCTCTCCATTCAGGCTCTAGACCGGGGTTGGCAAACTTTCTCTATGAAGGGCCAGGCTGGAAATATTTTAGGCTTCACAGGCCATATGGTCTCTTGCAACTACTCAGTTCTGCTGTTGTAGTTTGAAAGCAGCCACAGGCAGTATATAAATGAATGAGTATGGTTGTGTTCCAATAAAACTTCATTTATAGGAACTGGAATTTGAATTTCACAAAATTTTCACATCATGAAATATTATTCTTCTTTTGACTCATCAAACCCCAATTTAAAAAGGTGAATGCCATTCTTAGCTCATGGGCTGTATAGAAACAAATTGAGGGGAGGTTTTGGCCCTTGGGTCATAGTTTGCTAACTCCTGCACTAGAAGGTCTAGAGCTCTGCTGTCTAATATGATAGCAAGTAACCATATGTGGCATTTAAATTTAATTAAAATTAAAACTGAGTTACCACATTGCACTAGCCACATGCCAAGTGCTCGGTAACCACCTGTGTCTAGTGGCTACCATCCTGGACAGCGCAGAACAGTTTCACCAATATAGAAAGTTCTACTGGCCAGCTCTGGTCTAGACAGAAGAAGCCTGAGCAATTTCCTTCCAGGGCAAGGTTAGCTAGTTAGTATAGAGCAAGACAGCAGTCCAGGCCCCTTTGAACTGCACCACACCACTGCTACTGGCAAAGTTTGTGACTTAGGATTGATGATCGCACTGCTGTTTGAAAATAAATCTTGGTTTGGGATAGCATAATATTTGGTAGAAATTTAAACCCACTTTAAGTATGTTAATTAGGTTCAGAATGAAAGCAGTTTTTTCTAAAAGCAAAGTTTATCCTATTGCTGAGAATTAAGTGTGCTGTTTGTTTCTTTCTTCTCTTCTAGAATGAAAAGAAAGTTTTATTCCTGGGAGGAATGCATGAACCTTCGGGAGGTTAAGGTATTTATTAATATGCCAAGGAACAATTCATATATGGATGATGAAAATAGCTTTGTACATGCTTAGATTTATAGTTGATACAGTCATTTCATTTTAATTTTTTCACTAATGCTGGAAAGGGAGGCAAATGATAACATTATAGCTGAAGCAGAAGATTATGATGTAATTGCATATACTGTTATTAGAAAGCTTTAATCTTTAATGGATCTCTTACATCAATATATTTCAGTATAAAGAAGTTGAATGTGTTGATTTTGTGAATTATTTTGCCTGATTATTTTCGATTATTAACATAAAGGAAAATCTATTTGTTGAGTATTTTTCCGAGACATAATTGCAGTACTTACTTCTGTTTCTTGCTCTAATAATTTGCACTCTACTTTCCATGAGGAAATTCATTGATTAAGGTACACCTGTGTCAAGCATTGTGGAGCACAGATCTTTACTCGTATTCAGCCTTCTGACTGGATTCACTCTTCCCTCCCTTTCCCTCTGCCTCTTCTTCTACTGATTTTGTTCCAATTTTTCTCTCTGTCAGAGTAGATTGACCGCGTTGAGTTTTACATCCACTTCTTTGTCCAGTGGAGTGGTGCTTCATCTAATTTTAGTCCTCTTGCCCAGCCCTGTTTGAAATACCTAATAGAATATTGGAAAACACACTTTCTTTGCCTCCAAAGGAGTCCTGTACATGAAAATAGGGATCAGCAAACGTTTTCTGTAAAGGGCCAGATAGTCAGTCTTTTCTGCTTCTAGGACCAAAAGGTCACATTGAGGATGTTATATAGGTACATGTGTAACAAGAGCAAAAACAAATTTCCATAAAATTTTTATAAGATATAAAATGTAACAATAATTTAGTATAATTTTCTGTATTACAGGTTTTTCAATGAGAAGAATGATATTCTTTTTGAGGGGACATAATATTTAACTTAATTGGAGTTCAAAGTTAGTATTCCCTATCATCAAAGTTAATGTTTCCTATCATCACTAAATCAACACATTCAACTTCTTTATATTGAAATATTTGATATAAGAGATCCATTATACAGCTGTACCTTGATCAATGAATTGCAACCATTCATTTATTAAAATACTATTTTTTATCTTTTTTGGGCCAAGTGCAGTGGCTCACACCTGTGATCCCAGCACTTTGGGAAGCTCAGGCGGGTGGCTCACTTGAGGTCAGGAGTTCGAGACCAGCTTGGCCAACATGGTGAAACCTCATTTCTACTACAAATACAAAAATTAGCTGGGTGTTATGGTGGGCACCTGTAATCCCAACTACTCAGGAAGCTGAGGCAGGAGAATTGCTTGCACCCGGAAGATAGAGGTTGCAGTGAGCTGAGATTGCACCATTGCACTCCAGCCTCGAGGACAGAATGAGACTCAGTCTCAAAAAAAAACAAAAACCACAAAAATATTCTTAGCTCATGGACCATATGAAAACAGGTGGTGGGCTGGATTTCACCCATGGGACATAGTTTGCCAACCTGTGGTCTAGAGAATAAAAGTTGAAGATGATTCAAAAACATCAGATATAAAAGAAAATCAGGGATAAAAAAAAAACCAAAGATAATCTAAGGACATTTTCTCTGTGACATGAAGTTCTGAGAAGTATCCATGGTTTGGATGTTAAACCTTTATTTTTCTATACAGCGAATTGTGTATTAGTTCTAATGCCAAAGAGACTGCTCATATGCACAGTTTTAAAAAACTGTGGACACATAGCATCTTAGGAAGCAAGTGACTGCCTCAGCAAGATCGTTGAAGAAACTGCTCTTCTAGCTGATGACCACCAGACAACTCCCACTCTTTTTTCTTGCCTGCACAGATGCCAGATCGGCTGCCAGCTGGGATCCCCCCCATCCCCACACCCCCGCGCTTGTTGAGCCTCACACAGACTTCCCAGCACTGGGCCACAGCCCTGAACACAGAGGGAAGGGATGGCAGAAGCGGGTGGAAAGTGGGCACCTTACAAGATTCCTCATCCCTTCCTCCTTGCTGAGGTCCTTCTTTCGTGCCTGCTGACTCAGAAGGGGAAGGAAAAGGAAGGTCACTGAAGGCCTCTTGTCACTACCATTTCCTGTGTCCTGTCAGCTACTTCATTCCAGCAGCAAAGGGAACTAAAGGGAAATCCTGAGTACTCACTATGCCTCTGTTCCTTCTTCATTTCTTTTCTCCTCATTGCCGCCTGCCTGTATAGTTCCATGTCTGCCTGTGAAGACCCTGCGGACTTCAGGGAGATTCTGCACCTTCTGGCCACTGCAGGGAGGGGAATCCCTGCTCTCGTGATGTCATGGGGGGAATGGCACCTGGTGCTATTTTTCTTAGAAGCATAGTCTTACATGGCACTATGCGGTTCTAGACACCATCTTGAAACCATAGGCTGCCTGTATCTTGCCTACCGTGTTCCTTTGCTGCTTTGGTTTTTTTAACCATATTAATTTTTAATGTCTGTAGATTCTTGCTCCAACAATTTCCCCCTCCTTCCCATATCTTTAAACTTTTTTCCCTGATTCGTTCCTTCTATTTAGTCTATAAGTGTGCTCACCATTCTCTCTAACCCAAAACATTCCCAAGCCCCTCTCCCCTGGAGTTTCCAACTCTTTCCTTTTCTTCTTTTACCTTCCAAACTTCTTTCTTCAGTGCAGCTTTCCCACACACCATTTACTTTTCAACCTCATCGAATCAGGCAACTCCCTCTGTAACCCTACTTAAGGCCACAGATTCACCAGAAGAACTCAGCAGATATATACCTGGCATCCAAACGGTTTGCCTCCACTCACTTCTCCAGCCAAAGTCTTCCAGATGAGTCTCCCTCAGGACTAAACTGGGGTGATTCTCATCTCTCATCCCTCAGACACAGTCCTCCACTCAGTTTCCATGCCTTACCTGCAGTGGGCTTCCCTCCCGTTTTGCCAGCTCCCTCCTAGCAAGCTTGTCCGGGTGTCACTCTTCCTTTAAGTCACATCCCAGTGATGCTCCCACTGACCACTCAGGGTTTGCTGATTACTCCATGACACATCTCTGATGGTACTTGTTTCTGTCATTCCCTTGACACTTAATGTGATCTTCCTTATTTTATTACATGTATTTTGTATCGATGTCCTAACTTTCCAATTAAGTTGTTTGCCTTTTAAGAGCAAGCATGGCATCTTAAGCCCCAGGATACCCTGGGGACCCAGTACATTGTTGTTTTAATAGTTTGAAACTGTTGATTAGTCCCCATTTGGACTGTTGACCTGGCTTCATTTGCTACTTCTGCTTCTCCACTCTGACACAACTGACCTGCCTCTCTCTCTTTTTTGGAATCCTTCCCTGAGCCAAGATAAGATGTCTCTTCCCGGAAATACATCTTCATAAAGCCAGTTACATGAAGTCCCCCACATATAATTAATTCCTTTTATACTAAACTAATACGAACTTTAACTTGCTCATGAGCCTCATCTAGAAACAAGAATTGTGAGCCACTGTAGAGTTGGGCCAGTAATTCATAGCTCCAAACATACTTCAGGCTAAGAGCTGGAGGCATCCCACTCCTTGCCTAGAATTCTCTCCCAGAAAAGTTTTAAAAACAACTTCATTTTCCTCTGAATGAATTTTCTTCAAGGCTGCTCATCCACTAGCTACCTTAGCCATTGCTTGTGATGCATTTTAAGCAAACAGGCATAAAAGATAGCTGCGATCACTGAGAGTTTAGTGAATACTTACAAATTAAGCAATGTTTATATTTGTTACTTGTGGAGAACCAGGAATCCAACCCAACTAAAGGGAGTAATCAGCCCTTTTGGTCCATACTAGAAGGATCTGGCCAAAACAGTTGGCCAAAACAGCTGAGGATTCCCTGCCAGAGAAGTATCTTGGCAGGAACTGTTCTTCTGGGGAGGAAGCTCCAATGAGTCTTATTTTGCTCTCTTTCACTGACCATATTTCCTCTCTCTTAGCAGCTGCTTCAAGTAACTGATCATATTACACATTACCAAGCTCTGAACCCTCCTGGGTATTTTATCACTGAGTGTTCTTCTAGATGAGGATATTCATTTTAACACTTTCCTCTTCACATGTTTTCTTTGTTTTATAGAAAGAATGTTCTTCTTAATGAAATTAAAAGATAACAACTTAATATTGGACTCCCATCTTTATGTATGAGAAAGGGCTATTTTAATTAAAGGACTCATCTCACTGGCCAAAGTGACACTTGGAGGCTTCCATGAAGGGAACAGTCAATCAGATTCTGATGATCTAAACCAACAGTTTTGGATGTGTCTACTGTACAAGAAGGGATGCTGCCCATTCATACAAAAGTGGTTTGTTCACTATTGACAAAACTAACGATGCAGACAGAAAACAGTGTGCACATGGCTACACTCAAATGTATGCACGTGTTCCAGCAGGAGGACAAGTACGCATGCGTGAAGACGACTAATCGGAAGGCTACGCACCGTTTCGGAGCCACCCTCTCATTCCTCATCCACTGCCTGAGTTTTTGCCTTTGTTGTTCTTGGAAGCAGAGGGATTTCTCTCGTCTTACTTCAAGGTCCTTCCAGTAAGGTGTCCATTGGTCCTCTAACTCAAACTCACATTGTAAGAAGGAGCACTCTACGCCTCACGGACACCCGAGTCAGACAAAAGTCAAGAGAAGCAGGCCATCCGCCCTTTGTCTTTTTGAACAATTTCCTATTCAGAGTGTCGGCAGACTGTTAGCTGGTGATCTCAGCCCAACACAGCTGCATTCTCCAGTGCTGGAAAAATCTAAGCTTCTTTTATTGGTTCCCCTCTGGCTACTTCCACAGCCTGAATTCCATCATCTGGAGGGGGTGGACCCGAAATAGCCCTGGTACATTGCCTGGTGCTGGGGGCAGCCAGAAATACCAGTTACTGGTCAAATACACACCTTCTAGTCAGTTCATCAAAGTAGTTTTCCTATGTAAAGTTACTATCTATTTCAGAGATATACTGTTTATTAAATTGTCAATAAAACAATTTATGACATTTCTGTGGTTCTAAAATTAGATGTTTCTTCTCGATTATGTAGGATTACTTTTCTTTTCAACAACCGATTATCTCTAGTTTTATTTTTTTGTTTTGTTTTTCTTCCCTGCCTTTTAGTCTTTAAAGAAGCTCAACCATGCCAATGTAGTCAAATTAAAAGAAGTTATCAGGGAAAACGATCATCTTTATTTTATCTTCGAGTACATGAAGGAGAATCTTTACCAGCTCATTAAAGAAAGGTACAGTTTGGTCATCATTATCTTGTTATAGAAATAAATAGGCAAAGCAGATGTGTTTTCTTTCTGCTTTTGTGTTTTCTTTCTCTATCGCTCTTCTTTTCTTATTGCATTCTTCTGATTCTTTCTCCAGTCATTTAACATTCACGCTACTGGGCTTTAATGTTGAAAGCTGCCAGTTAGGAGTGCGGCCCACCCATATTTCTACTTTGGGGGCTTTCTGATAGCTCCAGGGAAGCTGTTCTCAAAGCAGTCATTTTCTTGTTTTAAAGAGTTATTCATCCAAAGAAGCTCAGATTTAATAGACATTGCCGTTTCCCATTCCCACTAGGACATATGGGCAGAGCAACTAGAAGTCAGAGGTAGACACAGCTTCATGGATTTTGAGAGCTCTGTTGAGAAGTCCTGGGTTTGTTTCAGTTCCTCTCTCGCTGCAGTGTTCAGGTGCTTGCGTGCCGGGAAGAGGAGGCTAATAAGAAATTTACCTGCTACGGTAATTTTGAACTTTAAACGTGAACCATGTGGAGCCTCTTGGGCACATCTTCTTTGTGGCACAATGAATGCCATTCACAGCACCCCTCTAAGTGAGCAAATATCATCTTTATTGACCATAACAGCAGTTTGCTGTGTGCTTTGCCCAGTCAGGAGGAAAATGTTATAAGCCGTTGCGTTGCATAAGGGCTTCATCTGGAAGAACTCAAATTTTCCCCACCAAAATTTTTTAAAGTTTTAGTTTACATCATGGGGAGAGGAGATTTTTTTTTTTTTATGTTTTATATACTATGTTGGAGGAAAAACTTTGTTTTTGGCTTACTATCAAATGTTTAATCTTTTCGTTTTTGTAACACGTGAATATATTTGGTGTTTATAAGGTAGCTTCTCTGTATAAACAAATGGTTGTTTTTCTTTAGTATTTATTATGAAAGGTTCTGGCCTTTGATTTATAACTTTGCTTTCCTTTGCCTCATACAGAAATAAGTTGTTTCCTGAGTCTGCTATAAGGAATATCATGTATCAGATATTACAAGGACTTGCATTTATTCACAAACACGGTAGGTGATTTGGAGTGTTTTGCTTTTAAATAGCAGTGAAATGTTGTCATGAAGTAGAAGTTGTAGCAAATGTTAATATTTTTTAATAGCTGATTCCCCAGAAAAGGTTGAAGAATTGAGAGGCTGATAATGGATTTTAAAATATATTAACTTTTATAACTTGATCTCTGAATTTCCCTCATTACTTATTATGTCTGTATGTTTTTGTTCTGTAGGCTTTAACATTAAGCTTAGAATTATAGATATAAATATGATTCCTGACCATTAACTGGTGTGTTAATGAGAAACCTAAGATTAGAATTCTGAGAAGTTTCATGTATTATGTTGGATCCCCTAACAGTGCTTCACTGTGACTTCTCATTTTTCTAGTGTATTTATTTTTCAACTTCTTTCAAACGAGTTTAAAAGTAGTCTAACAAAATTTATGCAACACAGGAAAATAGAATAAATTAGAAATTAGCAAACTAAACAAAGAGACAAAGGCAAAACAAGGTGTGGATATTGCCAGAGGTGAGGTTAGTCCTCAAAATGCATGCCAGCAAGTTTTTTTGTTTTTTGAGACAGAGTCCTGCTCTGTTGCCAGGCTGGAGTGCAATGGCATGATCTCAGCTCACTGCAACCTCTGCCTCCCGGGTTCAAGTGATTCCCCTGCCTCAGCCTCCCAAGTAGCTGGGACTACAGGTGTGCACCACCATGCACAGCTAATTTTTGTATTTTTAGTAGAGATGGGGTTTCACCATGTTGGCTAGGATGGTCTCAATCTCTTGACCTCATGATCCTCCCCTCCTTGGCCTCCCAAAGTGCTGGAATTATGGGTGTGAGCCATCACACCCAGCCGCCAGCAAGTTTTATTTCAGTAGAAGAAGCTGGCTAAGATTTGATTGTGAGTTCATTGTCAGACCATGCAAAATGTTAAATATGACCCGTTACAACACACGTAGGTTAAGAGCAGACCAGTTGCCCAAGAAGAGCAGAACTATTCTTGATACCAAGACCAGAGAGCAGGTTTTTTCATGGACCCTTCAGTGAGGATGGTATGTAATATGACTTCATAAACAGAGTGACGAGTTTTAGAGGGCAGTTTCATGTCATCTCCCTCAGTGGAGGCCATTAGATCACCTAATCAGATAAAACATTTATTCAGGGGCCAGTCTGATTTGCTCTACAGATGGTCTAGTTAGGCTAGGGAGAAATTTAGAGTATCCAAAGGAATCATGACCGCCTACCATTCTGGAAATCCCCCATCACCGTTGTTCTTAGCTGAGCTTTTGAAAGGTATTAAGTAGCAATGAGTTTGAGGTTATATTCTCCAGCAGCTACCTGGAGTTATTGCTGGTTGTCATTACTAACTAGACACAGACCTAGCTGGGGTTGGATCAATACTTCTTGTGAGCACAGAGCCATCAGATGGACATATCCACAGGTGGGGCCAGAAGTCTTCTCAGGAGGTCATTTGAGGTCATGGAGGTATACAGACAGGTGGGCCAAGCTGATTTTGCATAGGTAGAAATCCATTTACTCTCAGTCCGAGGATATTGTTGCCATTGTACCAACAAATGAATTTTATTACTCAGTGAGGAGACTGGGTTGAAGCCCTTTGATAATACAGCTGGTTTAGATTTTTAAACATTTTTAAAGAGAGAGTCTCAATATGCTGCCCAGGCTGGCCTTGGACTCCTGGGCTCTAATGATCCTCCTGCCTCAGCCTCCTGAGTAGATAGTTTAGATTTGATGTAAATTGGCAGTGAGTAGAAAAGACCTTGTGCTGGAGAAGGTGGCATAGTACATCTGGGATCATTACCAGCCTGTTCTTTACTTCCTAAGTAGCCCCTTATAGTTAGAGACTAAATGACACATAAACAAACCTAGGCTATCTGCAAATCCTAGTCAGCCTCAGGCACATGCTGAGTAATCAGCATGTAATATGCAAGACTGGTCAAATCGTGAACCAGTTCTAGTCAAAAGTTTCTAGTACAGGTTTTCTCTGTTTCCACTGACATTTGTAGAACTGGAACTTTGTCCTTTATTCAAAGAAGTCATAAGAGTGGGAATTTGCAAAACATTAAAAGCTTCTGGCATGGTATCTTAGGGACAAATAGAAACATCACTTACTAGATTAAGAGCTCAGGAAAAAAAATAATGAGAACTCAATGGGATTCTCAAAAGAGATGGCATATTTTCAAATAGAGACCAATCATAATGTCTCAGTTATTCAGACTATTTTCTCAGTACTGGGAACTGAGTGGTGGACTTAAAAGTTAATATTCTTTGGCTTTTTCTTCTTTCTCCTTTTTGTTGCTATTCTTGAGACCCAGATACTTGTTGCCAGAAAGTAGCCTTTTGTCCAGGCCTCTACCTAATCAAATGTGTGGGTGTATATGTATACACACACACAAACACATAGACTACACATATGCACCCCAACACATGTGCATACACATGCAAACATCTATATGTTCATATATTCACATGCATATATACCTACATAGGCATTCATCCTACACACATACACAAATATTCATTTGTAGTACATAACTTAGCATCCATATATTACTGTGTCAAAACAGCCTGTTGGAACTCTGCACTGTGCTTCCCTCCATGCATTAAACACTCGGACCACAAAGTACAAGGGAAGGCTCACTTTATGGCGAAGGTTGGACCTCAGCTTTTATAACCTCAACACCATTGCCATTACCAGAGATTCTTGTTGACACCTTTCCTGAGCAATTAAGTACCCAGTTCTAGTTTGAGCTTAACATTTTATCTGTTAATTATTTCCTTGCCAATTTATCAGGTAGAAAGAATAGGTGATATCTATTCTTTACAAAAAAGAGGAAACTGAGGTTCAGAGAGGCTCAAAAACCTGCCAAAGGTCCCATTGCAATAAAGTGGTTGAATGGAGATTAGTTCAGATAGCCTACGCCTATTTGCCATGCTTAATTAGAAAACCAGTCTGTGCTCAGAGAGAACAAGAGAGTAAGAGGTGAAGAAAATAATAATCATTGTAAGGGGTATAGATACTAATTTCAGTCTCACTCTGTCGTCCAGGCTGAGATGCAGTGGCACAGTCTTGGCTCACTGCAGCCTCCACCTCTCTGGTTCAAGCAATTCTCATGCCTCAGCCACCTGAGTAGCTGGGACTACAGGTGTGTGCCACCATACCCAGCTTATTTTTTGTGTTTTTAGTAGAGATGGGGTTTCACCATGTTGGTGAGCCTGGTCTTGAACTCCTGGTGTCAAGTGATCCACCCATCTTGGCCTCCCAAAGTCCTGAGATTACAGCAGTGAGCCACTGCACTTTGCCCCTATCCCATTTTCACTGGCAGGTGATTTTTAGAAACTGTTTAATGGTTTTTGTATGGTATTGACTTTGGTTAAATGCCCATGTACTTCTATATTCCTCTCCTTCAGCAATGGAAAAAAAGCACTTAAAGCACTTCAAAGATTAGTCATGTGAGTTTCAGGCTCTTCTCTGGTAGCCCGTTCTCACCGTGAGGAGGTATGTTCTGCCTTGGGGGAATAGACTCCTCCGAGAGGGGAAAACAGTGCCGCAGGTTGTTGCTATGGCCATACTTCATGTCACCGAGTATTTTCCTCCCATGGGGAATGAAAACACAGCTCTACTTGGTGCTGATTAAGCAATGCCAAAGCATATGTCCTTTGCAGGAATTAAATAATTAACGTAAATGGTCTGTTTCAACTCTGACTTGACCTTACAAATATCCAGGTCACACTTATCCATGCCAGAAATAGAAATGCATTGGGTAGTCTGGAGGGCAATGTTTTACACCAAGAGATGGTTCTCTGCTTCTGTGTTTCCTCACTGTCTCGCTATGCATGACCTTGAGACAGTACTTTGCCTTTCTATGCATTGCAGTCCCTGTAACCTTCTTGATGAAAACACTGTAGGTTTGAATTCAGTAATATCTGTGAAATTAAAGTTTCCACAGCAGGAAAGTGTGCTATATAAATTCATAGTGTTTATTCTCTGGCTATTTCCATATATTCACATCCGATTCATCAATAACAAAATGTGGTAGAGGGGAGAAAGCCTTCTTTGTGGCTTGATGTTTTCCTTGCCCAGGGGTTATTAATGAAAAAATAAACACACACATTTTCTGCCAGGATGAAAGAAAATCCCTCTGTTATTCAACTGGCATATAGGACTCTGAAATTAAATTGAAGGTCTGTTCCTGTCTCCTGGAAGTCAAACAGTTTTGAACAGGAAGGTTCTTATCATAACAGCACTTGGCTGTTGCATGATATCTGAATGACCCCAGCTAAAAGGGTTTTCATTGTGAATCAGAAGCCCAAAGGAAGAAGTAGGCTTATTGTTATAGGTCACATTGCACACATCAGCAGAACAGGAACCCTGCTACGAATTAGAGTTTTAGTACCACCTCCTCACCGGTGGGGCATGCCAGATGTAATTTTTATTAGCAAAAATGGAGCCGTGTCTGCCTGCCCACTTTAACAGGTTATGGGAGGGTGAAATGAGAGAATGTGTTAATGGTAGTACTGTTAATGACTACTTTTTACAAAGTATTAATGTGCAAGCACTACTCAAAAAGCTTTACAGGCCAGGTGCGGTGGCTCAAACCTGTAATCCCAGCACTTTGGGAAGCTGAGGTGGGCGGATCATCTGAGGTCAGGAGTTCGAGACCAGCCTGACCAACCTGGCAAAACCCCATCTCGAATAAAAATAGTAGCTGGGCCTAATCCCAGCTATTCAGGAGACTGAGGCAGGAGAATCACTTGAACCCAGAAGCCAAAGGTTGCAGTGAGCTGTGAAGATGACACCACTGTACTCTGGCCTGGGTGACAGAGTGAGACTCTGTCTAAAAAAAAAAAAAAAAAAAAAAGCTTTACAAATGCAACACATTTAATCCTGCAGAACAACCTCATTAGGTAGATGCTATTATATCCCCATTTTACAGATAAGAAAACTAAGGCACAGGAAAGATAAGTACTTTCCAGCCAATGAGTAAGTGAGTAACAGA